GGCAAAACATTCCAGGACTTCTAAGGGCCTTGGAAATGCATTTTTCAAATTCAAGGGTTTTCAAGGGCCTGTAGACACCCCGGAACATACCTGCCAAGTTCAAGAATTCTGAATCCGGGAGATTTCCGCAATGGGGAGGGGGGGGCGGGGGGCACCAATAAAAACCAAGGACAAACAAACAAACAAAAAACATTGCAACAAACAAAAGGGGGTGGGAGGGGGTTCTCAATCGCAAGCGGCAACATCAGCGTTGCAACATCAGCGTTGCGTTCGGCTAGGAGTAGCCGAACACACGAGGGTAGAGTTTTTCACTAAGGTGAGAGTCTCAAAAAGATCAACATAACTAGCAAAATCTGTTTCAGTCAAAACGACTCTCGTGTGTTTTCCTGGCACACACGTGAACGGATGGGACAGCTGGCTGGCTGCTACATAAGCGCGGGTCAAAGCTTTGATCACTACTAGATTCTTTTGACAGGAACGCCAAAACACGTCTGGCCCCTTTTTGTTGCGATAGCATTTATATGGACAGTCCAAGCCGTTTTTTTGCCGTCATCACTGCCGTCTTCTTTCACTGTATATGTATACGTATCTATATATATGAACGCTCAAAGAAAAAAAGCCGCCCGCGCTCGGTGCAGGGTTCGTAGCGATGCGCTGATGCCTGCTTATTTCTAACGTGTACTTTGCCCCATGGATGGGGAAGGGGTAGATGCTTGTGCGTGTGCGCTTATCTTTTGGTGGGGGAATCTTGTGTGCCTCCGGCTTCCACTGAAATGTAAGCATTAGTTGCCGGGCCCACAAAGGTGACTTTGGTCGCTCCACAGGCCCCTTTTGCGAAAACAGCACGCTTTTCATACACAGTGAGGTATAACAACTGGGACACTTGTTAATTTGTACTCATCGGTACCTGTGATCATAGCTCGGCATATTCACTCATGAGTACACTCACACACACACTGTGAGTATGAGTGTGAGTACTGATGAGTGTGAGTAGAACGTGAGTACTCATGAGTACGAGTAAGAGTGAGTATGAATGTGAGTGCTTTCAGAGAAGAAGTGAATATGAATGTGAATGAGTACTCATGAGTGTGAGTAGGAGTGAGTATGAACGTGAATGAGTATTCCGAGTGTGAGTAGGAGTGAGTATGAATGTGAGTGAGTACTCTGAGTGCGAGTAGGAGTATGAACTTGAGTGAGTATTCAGAGTGTAAGTAAGAGTCCAAATATCCTCACTAATCACTCGGGGAGATCCATAGCACATATTAATCACTAGCCCAAATTGCAACTTTCTTAGAAGTTAATGATGCAACCATGACATCAGATTAAAGACTGGACTACATTCTATCTAGGTTGTTTTCAACTCATTGCTTTAATGTTAGCTGAACCTAAGAATCTTTAATGTTAGCTGCCCCTAACAATCTCACGTTTCACGTATGTAGCTCTTTGAGCTACATACGTGAAAACGCGAGATGGAATAAATCAATGACATGCACTCTCAGTGGCGTAGGCAGAAATTTTTTCGAGGGTTGCACCTTCTTGGTCTGAAGTGGGGGGCCACCCACGGAGATGTGGTCGAGAGTCATTTTGTGTTCTGTACACCACGGCAAAAAAATTTAGGGGGGTGGGGTGGGAGCATTGGCTCCGTGCGCCATTTCCTGTCCACACTACGGTCAACTGTGGCAAACTAAGACTATAAAGCAGCTGCTGAATTTAGACATATGCCAAGCTACAGGTAACTGTAGAAGGAAGGGCATGGTAAAGAATTATTCACCATTACAAACGTGGCATAAGCAGAGCCTGATAGCAGTAGACAAAAAACAAGACTTTACCCAACCAGAGGCTTCAAGCCAGATGTTTAAAATGACCACACAGCTTAAGTCTCGCACATGCAGATTCGAATAAACATTGCAAAGCAACTTGCGAAACAAACAGTTTTTTCAGCCCAACAAACATTTGAGTCTTTAGCCACGTAGCATGATGTCATCCATCTAATTTTAATCTTGCAACGAACTGATATTCTAGATATGCAAGCGTGTGTGTGTGCACGCGTGCGTGCGCGTGTGTGTGTGTGCAGGCGTGTGTGTGCACACGTGTGTGTGTGTGTGCAAGCGTGTGTGTGTGCAAGCGTGTGTGTGTGCAAGCGTGTGTGTGTGCAAGCGTGTGTGTGCGCAAGCGTGTGTGTGCGCAAGCGTGTGTGTGTGCAAGCGTGTGTGTGCGCAAGCGTGCGTGTGCGCAAGCGCGCGTGTGCGCACGTGCGCGTGTGTGTGTGCGCACGTGCGCGTGTGTGTGTGCGCACGTGCGCGTGTGTGTGTGCGCACGTGCGCGTGTGTGTGTGCGCACGTGCGCGTGTGTGTGTGTGCACGTGCGTGTGTGTGTGTGCACGTGCGTGTGTGTGTGTGCACGTGCGTGTGTGTGTGTGCACGTGCGTGTGTGTGTGTGTGCGTGCGGAGTTGCACGCGCGGGCAACTGGTACTCTAAAAAAAAATAAGCTCTGCAATTTTTATATGCCAAAGGCATATCCCAGTGGGAGACCATGAATTAATGCTAACCAACCAGGGTAATTCAATGGTAATTCAATGAATACCTAAACCTATGTACACAGGTGTTTTACCATCCTGCATTGACCCAAATGTAGCCACCGCAGCTCGGACTTTTAACTGCTAGTTTAGCATTGCAAGAGCTTAGCCACAAGGCTACCACTGCAGGTCACGAAGAAGCTGCATTCCTCGAATAACACATTGACATGGTAGCACCTACAATGGATTGAAATTCGGAGTTTACCCGATGGACACACTTACATGACTAGCAAGCATTGGCTAACCAGGACCAGCATTCATCATTTACCTGCTGGGCACAAGGTGGCAGTGGTGTTTCCAGCTCAGGTAACTGGAGGGAATAGCAAGATGAAAAAAAGGAAGAGAAGGGGAGGGCAGAAGTGGGACAAACCATAAGGAGAGTGCATCGAGACCTTAGCATAATGACTCTAGAGTATAAAAATTGAGACATTCACTAGTAGAAAACAGGTTTACATTTATCTTCAATAGCTCAACACAGATCGCATAACCTCAAAGCAGCAGCAGCTTCTTGAAGCAATAAAGACATCACAGGCAAAAACAGACTAAGGGCCGGAGCTCTGCTGTATCTATTACTACCAGGCCCTGTGCTGTTAAAAAAAAAGAGTTGAAACACGTATCTATTTGAAGATTCACTGCATGTGGTTCACAGTCTGCTTTTGTCACATGCTTAGTGAACTGTATACATTCTTTAGACTATATGACTTTTCCTTGTGGATGGTTGAGGGGTATGTTACTTTTAATAAATAAAATCTTACATTGCAAAAAATGAACCAAAAGAATGTCCCACAGATTTCAAATTCTCTAATATATTCCTGATTAGCATATACTGTCAGAAAAATACAAATAGCTATGTATATCCTAGTACTTTTGATCATGCTTCATAACCTATCAAGAAAAAAAAAGTAGTGCATTTACATTTCTGTAGTTACGGTCCTGTTTACTGTTCTTCTTGGAACTGACAGCCAGGAAACAAGCAGTAGAACCAACCCAAAATGCTAATACCTTTGATTGATATGTGGCGTTTTAACATCCCAAAACCACCATATGATTATGAGAGACGCCGAAATGGAGGGCTTCGGAAATTTTGACCACCTGGGGTTCTTGCACCCAAATCTGAGCACACAGGCCTAAAACATTTTCGCTTCCATCAGAAATGCAGCCGCCGCAGCCAGGATTCAAACCCGCGACCTGCGGGTCAGCAGCCGAGTACCTTAGCCACTAGACACCCGCGGCGGGGCCAAAATGCTAATACTGCTTTCACAATTCATGCCATCTTGTAAAATGTAACACCAGCAGTCGCTCTCAGTGTGCACATTAGCATGTATGAAATTGGCACAGCCGACACCAGCTGCATTGTTCAGTGCATAAAGGAGGAGACATATGGTCACACAAACTATTGTGCTCACTATACAGAGCTGTAAATGATCCTATGCAATGAGCAGCTGCGTGCTCGAAACGTACCGCAATACAGCTCAGCCTGCACCAATCGCTGCTTGTTATCATACACATGCCTCACCACCCTAACCTGAAGCAAGCATTGTTACTGCAAGAGTTCATCACCAAGAACAATGTTGTGCCTGAAACCGCGAAAACGCTCAGCAACATACATTCACTGCAAACAATAGCTCTCCACACTATAACTGGCACCAATTTAGTCCACTTTCCGTCAATACATTGTAACCCTCCACAACACTTTCATTATGTTGCTGTTCCTAAAACAAAAAAAAACAATTGAGAAACGAGTTTAGCAGTACTAATCATCCAACGAAGCACAAGTAAAAAGAATTTTCTCATAAATTGCTCATAAATTCAGGGTGAAAGAGCTAGCCAGCTCTTCCACCCTGAAGACCTATGACAGATCACATGGCTGATGTAACGATGAAACAGGGTGAAAAAATACTGGCAGCTGTTCGCATCCAAAATGCATAGCTGCCTAATGTTTCACAAACTGAATGCATATATTTTTCACTTATTTGTATGTTTTTGTTTTGTTGTTTGCTGTTGCTCCTGTTGCTTAGTGGCACACAGTGGCCGTATTGCTAGCAGAGTCTGCAACTAGCTTCACAAATGACGACTCGCAAGATAACTATTCAATGTATTGGATGCTGCACATTCACAAAATACTGGAAGGGGCTTCTTTATGTAATAATTTAGGCTGTAGATAAGAGAACTGTATGAATTTAATGCAAGTGAATGTGAAGATGAATGCTGATGACAGCAACTAGCCACAAGTTTACAAGCGCTCACTTGGAAGACATGTCATTAAGGAAGAGTTCATAGTTCAACAAAGCATACCTTTCCTTAAAGCAAGCTCTCATCTTCTAGAATGCAATGCAGGTTGGCCATTTCTTACACGTGCCTATTTCTTAACATCCGCCTACACGTAAGCAGCATTGATTTGAGAATAAGAGCAAGAAAAACAGGTCTGTAGTGGAACAGTTTATTTCACTTTATGTGCACAAAATTATAACTGTGGATAGATGAAAGATGCAAATATATGTACCTGAGAGGAAACTGCAAATGGACTACTCAAACCTGTGAGGCTAGTAGGCAGCTCAAAAGCACGAAAAAGGAATGCACCAGGAGTCTACATGTAATCACAGCTACATTCCATCAGAACATCTAGGTATCAATGAACAATTTTACTTCCCAAAAGACTTCTCAAATAATAACAAAATCATGAGCACCACCAAACATTGCCACCCCTGTCACACAAACACACATTGAAAAACTCGGAACATCCACTAGTTTATAGCACTATATATCACAATACTTCCAAGCAGAAACAAACAACTGACCAGCACATTAATGCTTCTGCTCAATGCACATAATCAACAGTTAGGGTGCACATAGTGAACACAAAAACTACAACCTTGCAGGGGTATGCACTTCAATGTTAACAATGTACAGGGGGCATATCTAATGCTTCCCTCTAAAAAATAGAGTATTTGGGAGTGTTTCTGCTACACAACAATATCACCATCTACTTTCCTCGCGTTATCACCACGGTTACGGTAGTTCATGGTCATAAACAGCGCCTACGTTATCAGTGCAATATAGCCTTCTCGAGAGGAAAGTGGCCAGCGCCAGGTTTTGATGAAAAGAAACGAGAGCCAGTCAGATATTTTTGTGTAGCAGAAACATTCCCCACATATTCTATTTTTTTTTTAGCGTTGCCGTAGTCTACCTTTCAAACCAATCATGCACTATGAACAATGAGAACATCAGACAATCAATACTGCCTTTTAAACGACCTTGTATTTTTAATGAATATCAACTAGCAGACTTCCTTGCAAATCAGACAGAATGCAGTCACTATATCAGGTTCCCGAGCAAACTCTTCAACACTGAAACCAACAGCTATAATATTTTAATCTTCAACAAGCTAACAATATATATTCTCACTCAGCAGCTTAGTACATTAACTTCTGGGAGTTACTTGCGCACCCATCCCGTCTAGTACTTTTTGTGCTCGGCTCTTTGCACTGCCTTTTTAAAAAGCAAATTCGAAAGGTGTTCTGAACAGATGTACACCTTATATTCAAAAGGTGATATGTAGTGTGTAGAAGCAACAGCAATATTTTGATTTTAAGCTTCGCTGTTACAACTATAAAAGACATACAATGCCTCTTTCTAAGCTGACCTCCACTGGATATAATCAGACTCTAGGCACGCTACTGATCCCATACATTAGAAGGATAGGTGCATCAAGGGATTATCAAAATTTATTTTCCAAAAGAAGCCCCTTTAATTATTCAGCAAACAATGCTCTAGGATAGAAAACACAAATTGGTCATAGTCACGTTTAGTACTCAAGTCACTTGGGTCCCGGCAACAAACAATAAGTGTTTCGGTTGTGTGTGAAAACCAGTAGTGTTTTTAAATACAGAACTATATAATGAAATGTGATGAAGCACATCCTAACTGTACAGATGAATTGCTCAAATGAAATGATTTTAAAAACTGAACACTATTTTGCATCCCTGAAACAGATTACTGGTGTACAAATAAGTCGCACCTGCAGACATAGCAATACAACTATTGCAACAACCAAGTTGACAAAATCAAGGGCGAGAAACATTCCTAAACACCTTTTAGTACTCAACACTACTTTCGCAATGCCCTACCAAACGGATACTTTGAACATGCAAGTAATGGCTTTGAGATTTATGCCATAAATCCTCTAAATACACCAAGTTTTTAGGTGCTTTTATTAGCAAAATAGGTATCCTCACATTGAGTATATATAGCTCAAGGAAAACCATCGATACGTCAGTATACCGATGCAACGAGGTAAAGATCCAGTGAAACCATCAATTTCAATGAATGTTTTCTTGCCAGCTTTTCTTTCCAGCATGACCATTCAAATATATATTTGGCGACACTGCAGGTGCCTGCACATATTAGGACGAGTGTATACACTATAACAAGGGAAAAGAAACCGCCCTCGACCTTTCTTAGCTCCTTTACATAACTACTTCAAAATGTCGCAGGTTACCATAAACGAAGTCAGTCCTACTTAGCATCAAAGCCGAACTCAAGTTACCTGCTATTTTAGAAATCAACAATAACAAACTTTTGAGCCCAAAGTAAAACATGGACACTAAGAGCTCATTATGACAGGCAGAATTTGGTGCTTGCCATTAGGAACTAAAAGACCACGACTTCGTAGTAATTTCTCCCATTCGATTCCATGCCATGCTCTTGACTATCCACTTTCCATGGCCACATGATGACATTGACAGTGCAGGAGGAGTGTTGCTCTGACCACTGACGATGCAAAATAATAAGTAGCATTGGAAAAAAGCGATGCTACAATTTCACCGCCAAGGCCTTTTTGCCAAGTTTCTGCATCAATAGAAATTCTTAAATCTGGTTACCAGAAAAACAAGCATTGGGTCACACATATTCTACCCAATATTCCTCTACGGAATTAGATGAATTTCCATGCTTCTTCAAACCATTAATCAACTCAACCCCCTGCTTCCAATTCTAGGTGAACCCAACACAAAACCAAGAACAGTGAATACAAACTGCAGTCTTAATCCCTCCAGCACAAAAGTCATGCAAAATTTGTCTGTGCTTTATTTGTGCTTCCACACTTTCTCACCTAAAGGTCACAAATGCTATATTAAAATAAAAGCCTTATCAACATTTTACAAGAAGCACAACTACAAGTCTGTGAAGTCGAGTTAGAGTGGAAAATCCAGATTATTCTCTTTTGTCACTAATAGTAGACTTGCTATTTGACCCAAAACTTTGTTAACCTCTTACACTACGAGAAACGAGTGCAGGCTCAAGACTACCATGTAACTAGCAGCGAATAACTGTAAAATAACTGAACATCTTAAAACAACAATTCATCGGTTAGCAGCATCAAGTGCTGCAACATAAGTCCCCTAAAGGGGTACTGACACAAAATTTCACTACCGAGATAGCCTACGGGGTCGATTCCCAAGAACATTTGTATATCATCTGCAAAATATCCACAGCGAATATAGCTTGCAAGGCATTTCTAACTAATTTTTAAGGTTGTGTGAGCCCTCGACATTATCGTGCCATTGCCACTCTCGAAGGGGACCCTTTGGGGACCCCTTACTCACTTCCCGTCATCGCTCTGCAGTCAATACAAAGAGTTATGATGACGTCATAACCGCCCTTTTTCCTTTGCCGCGTTAGTTCCCGCAGTCTATACTTCTCAGCGGCTGGTTGCCGTGGTGCACGTTTTGAGAGTTTTCTGTTTGGCGACACTGCAGTCCCGTTGCCTATTCGAAACTTATTTTTGATGCAGACCGTGCGGAAGTGTGTCACAGTTCTGCGATCCGACACGGTCAAGAGTTGCACACACTAGGTGGTGACAGTTGCACCCAGCTATTCGAGCTCTCTCAAATCGAAACTGAAGCTAGTCGATAATGAGGGGCCTGTAATTAATTATCTGTCGCGTGCTGCAGCAAAGGATGTTTCGTGTCATGACTAACAGGCCTCCGGCAACACATCGAAGCAGAAAAACGCGAGGCCAAAGTTTTTGTGTCGGTACCCCTTTACGATAAAAAAAAATGCAGTCAGCTCCACTTCGTAAACACAGTCGGAACGGCGAAGGTTGTGCTTGTTTTTCATCAGGCTATAGTGTACTCACATTTTTGAAATATATGGTGCTAAGCTTCAGCCTGTCTTGCGCGAACATTGCAGTTGGCTCAGCGACGACACCCCTGTTCTTGCGACAGCTCTTGCTGCGGCCAACGCTGAGCCCGGATATAAAAGCCTCGACTAAGAACAGATTCACCGTTAAAATTATCTACAGGTACTGCCAAAAACATTGGCTTACTTCTTTTACTGTCAAATGAAGCCAAAACTAGCTTTTCTGGGAAACAGCATACAAGTCTATGAAATATCAGAATGTTCAAGTCCCCCAGCACCCCAATAACTATATCATGAGTGGGTCCCCATATTGGGGTCCTAACCTTTGTAGTTTGTATCGTTAACTGAATTAGTGTTACGGTAAACATATACATATGAAAACAGTTGAGTTAGTGCATACAATATTTCTTGGTCTAATCAATTCACATAGCGATATATATAAACAAGAAAATATTTGCTTAACAGTCCAAGATGGCGGCACCAAGCCCATGTACTTCAGTAATGTGCACCTGTGGCTTTTACGGATACAGTATAGACAATCCGGACATCTCCCTCAATGGCTGCAACAATTTCACAATCACTCTAGCTAAAGAAAAAATTCAGAATTATAAGTACCCACTAACATATGCCCAGACATTTCAGAGGTAAGAATTATTGCAGGTAAAACAAAAAAAAAAACATGATAAATGGTTACTCACAGCTGCTATTGGTTCAACCAACCTAAACAAAAAGCATCTGACAAGTGTCTGAAGAGTGAAGACAACTACCCTAAATGCGTGGGGATTAGGGGAATTCAAGCAACAAAAGGTGCCATTTCCCTGCAGCATTGTTATGTCAGCAAACTTAATCCAAGAAACAACATCACTCTGCAAATTACTACTACAATCTAGCAAAATTTTTCTGCAGCTCTTATTGAGACGCTAAAGAACATCATATACAAGCCTTTTGGCAGCACCAGTGCGCATCAATAACAATTTTAGGTTACCAACTGCAAGTTTATATAAGACTGTTCACAAAACCAGAGCTACAGCAGGGCTGGTCTACCATGACCATATTGCCAGTCCTTTCAGGCTCAAATCCAATATTAAATGCAAAGAAGCAAAAATTACTTGGAAGTTGTGGCCATTGACACATGCAGGCCAGACCACACTCCAAACGTGAGGCCAACTCTACGTACAGCATTAGCTGTGCGCATCTGTAGATGCAGTTTTAAGATGTAATAAACATGAAGCGTAGTACTGCATAAAGCAGCCTAGCACCGCCTAACTTGCCGAAGGACCTTCGCAACTTATTCTGCTCAACCACACAAGAGACATTATTAAGACATTGGCTCCTGCAGCCAGCAATTTGCCGGCCCCAATGGTGAGGCCAAAAGCCGATTATGTTATCCACTAGATGGAAGCAGTGGTCAGTTCTTGAAGCCATTTCTTAGTGTAAATGTATATTTTTTCTAACAGTGAAGGATGCATGCTCCCGGCTTTTTCAGAACACTGTCACACAAAAACCTTCCTATCACGACCTCACCAATGGACCTACAAGCCACCAAGTGGGCTAATTTTCCTTGTCAAATCTTGCCAAAAATATAAAAAAGGAATCCCTCAATGCTGTGCTTAGTTAGCAAGGCACATGGCAAGAAGTCCGTGAGCCAGTCGAAGTGTGAAAGATGTGAGGTTGCTTTTCACATGCCTATGTGCTTCCAAGTTTTTCACACACGATAATTGTACTGAAACAGCAGATGTAGTGACCCACACCGCCTCTGAACAAAAAAGTTATTCTGCAGAATACCAGGTGGGACCAGCCGCCAAGAGAGCAAAAGACAAGGGGTTAAGTTATGATGCAGATGATAATGTTGGCAGCACACTCGGTGCTTGTAATGTGAATACTCCCTCCACAAGTACCGACAGCCACTGCTGAACAAAAAGCGAGCCACTGATTGATGTGTTTCAACAAAGTCTGGTCTTGAACTTTATCACCCCACCAGTCCGCATATCTCATCATAACGGACATGGGAAGCCACACCAAACCAAGACATTTTCTGCCTCCTTCTTTCCACCGTCATGATCTGAATGGAACGACCTTTACCCACAGCATTGCCACCATTACCTGCCCGACCTTATCCTTGCAAAGTTTTGCACATTACCTGTCTCGCAAATAACATATATAATAAGCAGTCACCATTTTGTATAATTTATCTACATCCCTCTTTATTTACACCCCCCAGAGGAGTCTTTAAGATAATAAAATGAAATCAAATTACAAGAATACTGTGCATGCTGCAGCATAGTCTACTTTTTTTAAATATGATGCCTTCTGTGAAGGTGAAAATGCACAGTTGGCACATGTGAAATTACTAGGGCACATGGATGTTTTCATTACTACTCAAACCTGGGAAGTGACCTCATCTGGTCTCACAGTAGCCAATTGAAATGGTTATAAGTGTCATGGTAAATTTCACCACTCCAAGCACTTTCATTGCACCCAAATGAATGCCTAATAGACTTCAGTCATTTTTAGTCATTAACTAGGGTTGTATTCACAACGCTATGCATGTATTTTGCAGTAATTTAATGAAACGATTGATGTTGGTGCACAGCTACAAATTAAAAAAATTAAAAAATGCATTGTTCTACTGCATTGTCATTTTGAGCCTCCATTAGGCAACTCTAGGAGTCCATCTCTAAACAATGCTAATGACATGAGTATTTGTACAATTAATATAAAGTGAATTAATGCAGCAAGACACTACTGAAGATATTAGTCCATAAGGACAGTGTAAAAAACTTCAGGTCAAAGTAAGGCCCTTCAGACTGTGAGGAAATCGCTGTGTTCACCTAATGCCCCGTCAAAAGGGCAAAAACAAGACAGTGCCTGCAATGCAGTGTAAATAATGGCAGAATTTCCGTGTGCAAAACTGTAAAGAATGTTACAATAGAACTACAAATATGTAACACTCCACACTATGACGAGTTTTTTTTCCGTGCCAACAACTACTTTTAGTGCGCCAACATCATATTGACGCAAAGAACCCAACATCAACACGTACAACAAAAAATAGAGTGTTCATTTAGCACTTAATCATCATAGGTGAGCTAAGAATTGCTACTAGGGCACAGTATGATCCAAGGGCAGAAGCCTTCACAAATACTCTTAAATTTGTACTCATCAGTGACACTTTGTTCTATTAGCCAAGTGTGTGTGAGAAAAAGTGAAAAGACCCAGCTTTTTATTCATGGCAGCATACAACGCAGCCCAGTAAATAACGAGCCTGCTTTTGTCAATTTTCAGGGCGAGATGAGGCAAGTATTACTGCACACGCATGATAACAGAATTTTAAGTAAGTTCCACAGCAGCAATTTACATGCAAATCTGAGCTTGCATAATATGAGGAGTATATACACGCTGAACATTTTCTATTAAAAATAAATATTAGAACATAAGAAAAGCAGCAGACATCACCCCAAAGCAACATACACTGACTTTATTAAACCCATTTCTCTGTCTGACCTGCATGCTTGAATCATGCCAGTCTAGTGTTGGCCAGCCATGCCAACTTAAACATAAATGTAGATGCTCTTGAGATGTTTCACATAGAACATACGACACAGAAAAACGAAGGAAAACACAGTGCAATAATCTTGCAGTGGAGTCCTGGCAGTAGCAGGCGAAAAAAAAAAAGCTAACGCTTGCCAGTGTTGGTTTTGCAACCATGTTGCCTGGGTACCTGAGATTTGTACTTCTGTGGCTTGCGTCGGCGCCGATGAGCTCCTTTCTGAGCATCTGTTGCCTCTTCAAGAAGCTGCCGCATGTTCATGTTTACAGCATCAGCCCTCTTGCAAAGCTCTTCATAAACTTCAAGCAAGCAAAAAGCATCCACTGCTGTATAGGAAGAAAAAAAGTTCACGAGTTAAATTTTTGTAAAACCTCATGGGCGATAGAGTGCATACTTCCAATGTACTGAGAGACTGGCCAACAATAACTCGTCACTCTCTAGCAAACACAATAGAGACGACATTTGCGCATTTCCCAGAGGGCATTTTAAAGGGGCACTGAAATTAATTTTCAAGCTCGAGGTATGCTTACCGAACAATGAAATGAAGGTATTTTTGATCAATATTGAATCGCATTTTTCACCTGGATCTTATTCTACTGTGACACGTTCTGTGTGGCCCATATCATCCTGAGCGACAATACACTACTAGTAACGATGTGGACGATTTCAGTGTTTTTACTGTGGTGCCGACCGCCGCCGCTGCCTAAAAATGCTCTCACTCTTCAAGCCTAATCTTTGTGACGCCACTTTGAATTATTTCATAGAATTACAAGACACAAACAACCAAGGAAATAAAGGCAAAAGGACACAGCATGACTCAACGAGCGCTCGTCAGTCCATGTGTCGGGAAACAGATGCGAGCTGAAGTTGAGCTGTTGACAACGACATTAACAGTCGTGAAAACTGACGCAAGTCGGTACGACTTCTCCAGGGTTTTTTAGATTGATAGACACTCTGAATGATTAACGTTGCTAAAAATTCACCCAAATAGCTGCGCTAGAATTTCACACTCCAAAGTATGGGCAACATCAAGTGAATTTTTAAAAAATTATGTTTGGTCGTACGTCAGTGAATGGAACAACTCATATTGTCAAGGTCATCCAATCGCCTGGATGAATATGTAACCGTGAAATAGATTTCATGTTCAAGAAAAGGAATAAAAAAAGAAAAAGGCTACAGTTATGCAAACTGAACTAGAAAACTTAATTCTCTGTTTGACTTGCATGTTTGGATCATGCCAGTCTAGTGTGGCCAGCCATGCCAATTAAACAGAAAAGTAGGTTCTCTTGAATCAAAGGTCCTGCAATCAATATATACTCACCAGCATATATCATCTGAGACAACCTCAGTGGCCTGTTTTCCCAATCTGAGCATTGTTCATTCTTGTTCAGTGGAAGGCCTAGAAGTGTACGGGTCAGCTCTGACAAACCCTTGTGTCCAGGCACTTTGGGCACCTTGGGTTCCATCAAGAATGGCCAATCACATCGCAACTAAATGGAAATGAAGGAGCAAGTTGAAGCAATAGCACTGATATCCCCTTGCTTTCCAATACAAATAAGTGAAACTAACATTAATAATATTAATATGATTTACGAGAGATGCTATAGTGGAGTGCTCCTAAAATTTTGATCACATGGGGTCAGTCTGGTATCATAGCCATTAGAGCACCGTGGTGGGTACAAATAACCATAACTAAAGCTAACACAGCTGGCAAGAAGCAAATTAGGCGACAGGTCCAGTAGCTCATATTAGTACTTTTCACAATCAATTGTAATAAATAGAATATATTAAGCAACCTGTTATAAACACATACCATATCCATTTGCCATAGAATAAGAATCAGTTAAACATCTACAGTAAAAAAATGTTACAACAGTCCTATCAGGCATGAAAATACACACCACCTGTACCCCTGCAAATAGAAAACTCTGCAATCAAGCAACGAGACCATACTGGCTTGCCAAATGCGGATAAAAAAACTTGTGCTCTGCGTGCAGATTTTGGACAACATACCATAAAATGCAACAGTGCTCTGCTAAAACTGTTCACAGTCTAGCTCGTGCTTCCGATCTGGGGAAGTCTCTCATGACGGTTTGTCACCATCCAGCTAACCAGTCATACAGCTTAGGCTCCTGAATCTAACCAGCTCTTTGTCCGAACTGTTGTCGGCATTTAATGCATTCAAGTTACAATTTTCCGACAACTGAGCTGGCAGCTACTTGTTTTTGTCACTATACCTGCATTACTGCATACGCTGTTCATGTCTTAAATACCTGTATCATGCCTTATTCCAGCTATTGCCATTATACACTAATGCTAAAGGAAGATGGCAAGCAACAGGAATTATACAGATAAAAATATTAGACACCCGAAAAATAGCCGAATTTTTTATACCAAAACATGCCACATGTGTGCGTTTTCACACTGTCATCCTCCTCATTGTCTTTGCACAAGAGCCCTTTTACTACACTTGCACCCATTTTAAATGCACACTTATCACAGGTGAAGATAATCTTAATTTTCAGGTTCAGCTGCCAGTCCGATGTAGCCAGGCCTACAGTCCCCGTTAACTACTCTACCAAACAGCACAATGGGTCCAAGTCTGGAACCCCCCCCGAGTAAGAAACCCCAGCTCGTAACACCACCTCCAGTGTAGGAAAGCCCACATCCTACCAAGCTTCCTACTGCTGTTTTTACTGTGGAAACAAGCCTAGTTGGGCTTTTATGGCACATTCCCCACACTCACGCAGTAAGTAAACGTTCAACGCCCACCATGGATTTCATGACTATCTAGTGAGCGCTGTTTGCCATTATGTACACTTTTCACCGCCATGAGCACAGAGCATAAGTTGCAGCTTTTAGCCATCTGGACGTCCTGCACTTCCCCTCCTATTGCCCATGATGCACCTCAAGAAGGTGGGGGAGAGCTTCCGATTATTATTGCAGCAACAACCTAGCTGACTTACTAAGCCTCCTGCCCATACCCACACCTTTGATCCACGAATAGTCCTGAATTTTTTCCAGTAAAATAAAAAACTCGGGTAAGCTGGTGTTGGTTCATGATAACTTAGGGTGGCGCCGAAAATGCAGCACCCAAAAAAGGAGGACGCATGACAACGCGTTAAAGTTTATTCAGATAAAACCTTTCAAAAGCAGTTAAACACAAAAGAATCTACACACATAAGATTAAAGATACAAGCACTCAGCGCAATAAGCTCGCATATTGTTTAAGAAACACTATCTTTGCCTCTTGCACATTAATAGATGGGTGACAAGTGCACCCAGTGGGCACGGCGAGACGACAGCGACCATGTTGCTGACCAAAGTTCTTCTTCGTTGTACAGGTTTCGCTGCTGACGGTTTACCGAGCACGAATGACACGTGAATCTACCTCTCCGTGGCAGATCTGCATGTGCGGACGCCGATACTTACCTTCTGTATGGACGCTTCGACGCAGCGACAGTTGCGCATGTCCGTGACATCCGTGACCGAGGCTATAAAGCATCCACTGCAGCATTTCTTCGACAGTGGGCACGGCGAGACGACAGCGACCATGTTGCTGACCACGAAGTTCTTCTTCGTTGTACAGGTTTCGCTGCTGACGGTCACAAAATTACCGAGCACGAATGACACGTGCGCGCCGCCGGTTGGCCCCATCTACCTCTCCGTGGCAGATCTGCATGTGCGGACGCGATACTGACCTTCTGTATGGACGCTCCGACGCAGCGACAGTTGCGCATGTCCGTGACATCCGCGACCGAGGCTATAAAGCATCCACTGCAGCATTTCTTCGACAGTGGGCACGGCGAGACGACAGCGACCATGTTGCTGACCACGAAGTTCTTCTTCGTTGTACAGGTTTCGCTGCTGACGGTCACAAAATTACCGAGCACGAATGACACGTGCGCGCCGCCGGTTGGCCCCATCTACCTCTCCGTGGCAGATCTGCATGTGCGGACGCCGATACTGACCTTCTGTATGAACGCTCCGACGCAGCGACAGTTGCGCATGTCCGTGACATCAGCGACCGAGGCTATAAACCATCCACTGCAGCATTTCTTCGACAGTGGGCACGGCGAGACGACAGCGACCATGTTGCTGACCACGAAGTTCTTCGTTGTATAGGTTAGCTACTCTGCTTCCAACATAAAAACTAGTGATGAAGTCATGTTAGTAGTTGTGGCGTGCCCAAGCACCTGTTTAAGTATTGCATATGAGTGCTATTGTGCATGCAAAATGTTACTCTGTGGTGACGTTGAGACAAACCCAGGACCCACGAACGCCGATTTATTACACATTATTCTTCAGGGCCAAGCAGATATGAAGGCTGAAATACTGCTATTAAAATCGAACGAACAAATAATGAGCGACATGGACTTGCGATTTCGAGCAATTGAAGCCAAACTACAGGAATTTAAAGATAAATCACCGAAAGTTGCAGCTCTTGAATCCACTGCAGCTTCCTTTAAAACTGTGCTGTCATGGCAGAGCTCCAAGTTAACTGATCTCGAAGACCAAAGCCGTCGGGCAAACCTTATCATTCATGGTGTTCTCGAAAACACAAATGAAAATGACACCTGTCTTCGAACTGCTGTTGTAACCAATATATTTGAGAAAACATTGGGAGTGAAGTGCAAGTCCACGCCTTCACCGTCTTGGCCGCCAAGGTAGTCGTAGGCCTGTCATAGCTTACTTTCAAGATTAT